GATTACAGAAAGCAAGAAAGCAACAGTTAGACTAAACCATTTCCCTTTGTTCCAGAACTCTTATGTATATTTATTTGTTTGGTTGTTTGTTTGTATCCTACCTTTAGTATTTTTACAAATAACTGAACGTGGCAAACGTATCCAACATACTTTCCTCCTTTATGTTGAGTTGGGCTGAGCGAGAGTGACTGGCCCAAGATCACTCAGTTGGCTTTTATGGCTAAAATGGGACTAGAACTCACAGTTACCATTTTCTAATCTGATGCCTTAATTACTAGAGCAACTTATTAAAATTTGAAAATATTAATTTTCCTATTTAGGATATTCTATATTTCATTTCTTTTATGTTGTTTAATTTTTTGTAATTCTCTTTCATTTTTTAGTAACATTAAATTGTAAATTTAGTTTTGATAACATCCTTCTCAATAAATAAACCTTCCAGAGATTTGGACTGCTAAAGCTCAGAATTGAATAAAAAATATAACAAATATTTTAGCTGAATATGTTGGCACTTAGATGTTTTGGATAAATTGCATTCATTTTGTAATCTTTCAAAAGGTTTAATGGTATAATGACTGGCTGAAGATCACCATAATATTTATATGAAACCTGTATATTTGAGAATAAGATAGTATAAATTGACTATTAATTTATTTTTTAAAAAAGTGTAAGCAACATAGGCTCACTCTCAAAATATTTATTATTCTAGACACCATGTTCATTTGCACTATATTTACACTTCCCACATATCTGGGAATATTTTTAAGAGTGATTTCAAAGACCTAAAATTTGATTTGTATGTGACAGTTTATATTTAAATTCTGATCTGTTAAGATCCTTAACTGGATCATCACATTTTGATTACAGAGCAGATAATCGCATTTGTAGCCACCCTAGCAGAGGCATTAAAATAATAAAAAAAATATGTGTAACAAATTGTAAAGGATATCCAATTTTCTTTACTTGTACTAGAAATTCAATTTCCAACATATCAAAAGCTTTTTCTGCATCTAGCGATGTCAAAATGTCTGTTTCATTTGTTCCAGAATATGTTTATAATAGATTTATTATTTCTGTAACTTACCCCTCCCCTTTATGGATTACTGCCTTGTCGTGGTGAAGGGGCTTGCGTAACTCAATGAAGCTATAAGCTATGCCGTGCAGGGCCACCCAAGACGGACAGGTCATAGCAGAGAGTTCTGACAAAATGTGATCCACTGGAGAAGGAAATGGCAAACCACTCCAGTATCTTTGCCATGAAAACCCCATGGACAGTACTAAAAGGCAAAAAGATATGACACTGGAAGATGAGCCCCTCAGATCGGAAGGTGTCAAATATGCTACTGGGGAAGAGCAGAGGGCTAGTACTAGTAGCACCAGAAAGAATGAAGCGACTGGGCCAAAGCCGAAAGGACGCTCAGCTGTGGATATATCTGGTGGTGAAAGGAAAGTCCGATGCTGTAAAGATTTTTTCTCCATAGGAACCTGGAATGTAAGATCCATGAATAAAGGCAAGCTAGACGTAGTCAAAAAAGAGATGACAAGACTGAACATCGACATCTTAGGAATCAGCGAAATAAAATGGACAGGAATGGGTGAATTTAACTCAGATGACCATCAGGTATACTACTGTGGGCAAGAATCCCTCAGAAGAAATGGAGTAGCCTTCATAGTCAATAACAGAATAGGAAAAGCAATACTGGGATACAATCCCCAAAATGACAGAATGATCTCAATTCGAATCCAAGGCAAAACATTCAATATCACAGTAGTCCAAATCTATGCCCCAACCACTGGTGCTGAAGAGGATGAAATTGACCGGTTCTATGAAGCCCTACAGCACCTTATAGAATTAACACCCAAAAATGATGTCTTTATCATCATGGGGGATTGGAATGCTAAGGTAGGAAGCCAAAAGATAACCGGAATAACAGGCAAATTTGGCCTTGGAGTACAAAATGAAGCAGGGCACAGGCTGATAGAATTTTGTCAAGAGAATACGATGGTCATAACAAACACTCTTTTCCAACAACCCAAGAGATGGCTCTACACATGGACATCACCAGACGGTCAACATAGAAATCAGATTGACTATGTGCTCTGCAGCCAAAGCTGGAGAAGCTCTATACAGTCAGTAAAAACAAGACCAGGAGCTGACTGTGGCTCAGATCATGAGCTTCTCGTTGCAAAATTTAGGCTTAAATTTAAAAAAGTAGGGAAAAGCACTAGGCCACTCAGGTATGAACGAAGTGCCTGAAGAACTATGGATGGAAGTTCGCAACGTTGTACAAGAGGTAGCAACTAAAACCATCCCAAAGAAAAAGAAATGCAAGAAAGCAAAATGGCTGCCTGAGGAAACTTTGCAAATAGCTGAGGAAAGAAGGGAAGCGAAAGGCAAAGGAGAAAGAGAAAGATACACCCAATTGAATGCAGAATTCCAGAGAGTAGCTAGAAGAGATAAGAATGCCTTCTTAAATGAACAGTGCAAAGAAATAGAAGAAAACAACAGAATAGGGAGGACCAGAGATCTCTTCAAGAAAGTTGGAGATATGAAGGGAACGTTTCATGCAAAGATGGGCATGATAAAGGACCAAAATGGCAGGGACCTAACAGAGGCAGAAGAGATTAAGAAGAGATGGCAAAACTACCCAGAAGAACTATACAAGAATGAGCTTAACGTCCCAGATAAGCACAATGAGATGGTCACTGACCTTGAACCAGACTTCCTAGAATGTGAAGTGAAATGGGCCTTAGAAAATCTGAGCAACAACAAAGCTAGTGGAGGTGACAGTATTCCAGCTGAGCTATTCAAAATCTTAAAAGACGATGCAGTAAAAGTGCTACACTCAATTTGCCAGCAAATTTGGAAAACTCAACAGTGGCCACAGGATTGGAAAAGGTCAGTTTACATTCCAATTCCAAAGAAAGGCAATGCCAAAGAATGTTCAAACTATCGCACAATTGCACTCATTTCACATGCTAGTAAAGTTATGCTTAAAATCCTACAAGCTAGACTCCAGCAGTATGTGGATCGAGAACTACCAGAAGTACAGGCAGGATTTCGAAGAGGCAGAGGAACTAGAGATCAAATTGCCAACATACGCTGGATCATGGAGAAAGCTAGGGAGTTCCAGAAAAACATCTACTTCTGCTTCATTGACTATGCTAAAGCCTTTGATTGTGTGGATCACAGCAAATTGTGGCAAGTTCTTAAAGAGATGGGAATACCAGACCATCTCATTTGTCTCTTGAGAAACTTATATGCGGGTCAAGAAGCAACAGTGAGAACCGGACACGGAACCACTGATTGGTTCAAAATTGGAAAAGGAGTCCGGCAAGGCTGTATACTGTCGCCCTGCCTATTTAACTTATTTGCAGAGCATATCATGAGAAAGGCAGGGCTAGATGAATCAAAAGTTGGAATTAAGATTGCCGGGAGAAATATCAACAACCTAAGATATGCAGATGATACCACTCTAATGGCAGAAAGTGAAGAGGAACTAAAGAGCCTCTTGATGCGGGTGAAGAAGGAGAGTGCAAAAGTTGGCTTGAAACTCAACATTAAGAAAACCAAATCATGGCATCCGGCCCTCTCAATTCCTGGCAAATAGATGGGGAAGAAATGGAGGTAGTGACAGATTTTATTTTTCTGGGCTCAAAGATCGCCTCAGATGGGGACTGCAGCCAAGAAATTAAAAGACACTTGCTCCTGGGAGGAAAGCTATGGCAAATCTAGACAGCATACTAAAAAGCAGAGACATCACCCTGCCAACAAAAGTGCGTATAGTCCAGGCCATGGTTTTCCCAGTTGCAATGTATGGCTGTGAAAGTTGGACCATAAGAAAGGCTGAGCGCAAAAGAATTGAGGGCTTTGAACTATGGTGTTGGAGAAGACTCCTGCGAGTCCCTTGGACTGCAAGGCGTTCAAACCGGTCAGTCCTAGAAGAGATCAACCCCGACTGCTCTTTAGAAGGCCAGATCCTGAAGTTGAAACTCAAATACTTTGGCCACCTGATGAGAAGGAAGGACTCACTGGAGAAGGGCCTAATGCTGGCAAAGATTGAGGGCAATAGAAGAAGAGGACGACAGAGAATGAGATGGCTGGATGGAGTCACTGAAGCAGTAGGTGTGAACTTAAATGGACTCCAGAAGATGGTAGAGGACAGGAAGATCTGGAGGAACGTTGTCCATGGGGTCGCGATGGGTCGGACACGACTTTGCAATTAACAACAACAACTTACCCCTCCTGCAAAAAAATCAGTATTTTATTTCATGGAGATGGGAGTAGAATCAGTTCATAATTAAAATTAAAATATTCAGAAATTCAAGAACTAGAGTTTATATTGATCGGCAACAATAAGACAAGACTAAACCTCCTTAATGTTACACAATGTAAAAATGTAAATCAAAAGTAGGGGAATCATATATGGCCAGTAAAGTCCATAAAGTGTCTATATTTTGCCCTCCTTTCTTGCTGAATGCTACAATTGGTAAAAAATGAAAGCAATACTATGATGAATGTTCAAATTTTGTTATCTCCAACATACCTTTGCAAGTATATATGAAGTAAAGATGCATTTGTTAATGTGCACTTACCGTAATATTTTTTGATAACAGAAGTGTGTCTGTACGTGTAATATGTACTGTATAATCAGTCTCAAATTAGAGATAAAAATAAAATCTGTTGGCAGTCCATTTTGCTGATATTGATACAGCCTTGAAATTTTTCCTTCTGTCTTTATTCTTATATGAGGCAAGAAAAAATTAATTGGGTTTGGATTCATTGCTTTTAAAGAAGTTTATTTTTGTATGTTCTTACACAGTACTGCTGTCTTGAATCATTAACAAAGTACTATTTACCAATGCATCTGCTCGAAGTGCATGCCTTATATATTTTAATGGGTGAAAGACAGACAGACAGACATATTCTTGGTGAAATAAATAAATATAATTAGGTTTGCATCTGAAATGTCTTTTTTTATTATTACTTTTTGTGGCAGGTATCACCCCAAGAGGACAGCTTGGCCTTGTAGAAATCATCCAGGAATATATTCATCAAGATGAGATACATGAGGCAATTAACATCTTAAATGGCATGAACTGGAATACAATGGGTCATCACTGTTATGTAAGCCTTTGTGCCATAATAAACTACCTTCTTCGACAAAAGCTGACACACATTAGAGAAGGTTTGTTGGGCTATGTCTAATAAATATCCCTACTTTTTAGTTAATGGTAGAACTTTAATGATAATCAATTTGAGGAGATTATACTTAAACATTGTAAAATTATGCATATACTATTCTTTATGTTAAAAGCAAATGGTGTTACTTAAATCAATTTTTCAGTGTAAATATATTGGTATAGTGTAGAGTTAAAGGTGCTGGCCTAGAAACTGGGATACTTTGAATTCTGGGCCTCCCTTAGGTATAAAAGCAAGCTGAATGCTTTTGGGCCAGTCATTCTCTCAGCCCTAACCCATCTCATAGACTTGTTGTGGGAAAATAGGCAAGAGAATTATATTAAGAAATTCACACCTTGAATTTTATGTTAAAAAGTGGGATAAAAATCTATTAAAATTCTGTTATTGGTTCATCACACAGGCAGCCAGATGTTTAGACCAGATTTGGCATTTTTATCTACCGTAAATGCCGGCGTACAAGGCGACCCGGCGTATAAGACGACCCCCGCCTTTATAGCAGGGCCGCATTCCTAGAACGTCGTCTTATACACCGGAAACTACCAGTATTTCCGGCGTATAAGACGACTCGGCGTATAAGACGACCCCCGTCTTTGGCGCCAATTTCAGCACTCGCGGAAGTCGTCTTATACGCCAGCATTTACGGTATCTGTCAAGTCCTTCCAAAAGATCTGAAATAGGCAGATGTTTTTTGATGGTGTTAAAGGTTACAAGTAAAGATTCCTTTTGCAATTGATTGGTGGTGATTTTGTCAATGCTGATGGTGTTCAAGTGGTGTCCAGATGTTTTGGGATTGCATCCAAGGTGCCTATCACTATTGGAACTATCCTTGCTTTCTTTTGCCACTACCATTCTACTTCTATTTGCAACTCTTTGTATTTTGTGATTTTCTCCAGTTCATTCTCTTCTATTCTGCTGTCTCCAGATATTGCAATGTCCACTAGCCAAACATTTTCTTATCAACAACGTTAATCTGGGGTGTTTTGTAGTAGATGTTTATGTTGGAATTCTAAAGTCCTAAAGTACTAACGTCTTCATTTTTTATCCTTTGTCTTTTTTGTGGTCCCATTAGTTCTTTTCCCAGGATTTAGATAAAAATAATAATAAGTAGGAGAGTGTCATGGCTTGTCTCTGCATGTAAGTACAACTGAGCATCAAGCGCTTGCCTGGAGAAGAGGAAAATGCTAGAGGATATGGTGAACAGCAAGTTTTAGAAAAATTGCTTGCTGTTGAAACGTGTGTCCAGGCCATGAGGCTGAGACCCACGATCCTTATGCTATAGAAGAAGAAGCACTTACCATAACATTCTACATCATTGACATAAAATTCTACATAGGGTTAACATTTATTCTTAGAAAATTTCTAGAAACACTGAAAAGTGGAAAGATATAGGACCTTTTGGTTTAGTATGTATGTTTTATAAATATATTCTTTCTATGGTTCTATGCTTCTCCCAGAATGCAATATGTCAGACAAGTAACTTATGTCATTTGAGATTTATTCTGAAGAAACCTAACCAATCTGTCATGGTAATTTGTTTACCAGATGTCAAGCACAGGAAACCAAGAATGACACAAGTAAAAGCTCAAAGCAGTTTCTTTATTGCATGTTTGCCCATAGACAAAATTTTGCCCAACTGAAGCATACTCTGCATAACTATCTGATAAATGCTGACTAGAAATGAAGGAGAATCCCTCCTAGGCAGCTTCCTGCATAGCAAGGATTCAAAGCTGATATGTCTCTTTACTTTCTCCTCTCGTAATCAGTGCCAGATTCCACATTCCACCACACCAGATTTATTTTAATTTAATTTACCGTACTTTCTGGCGTATAAGACGACTTTTGAAAGCATTGAAATTGGCACCGAAGTTGGGGGTCGTCTTATACGCCAAGTCGTCTTATACACCGGAAATTACGATAGTTTCCAGCGTATAAGACGACTTTCTAGGCATGCGACTCGGCGCCAAAGACGGAGGTCGTCTTATACGCCGGGTCGCCTTATACGGCAGAATATACGGTAATCTAAATTTAAATTTATTTTAACCATTATGGTTATCTTCAAGTTCTTCAGAGAAACTAGATTTTTTTTAATAACACTATAACTGCAATATCATGTAGCTTGGATTATTTCAAAAGTATAAAACTTGTAAGGAAAAATAGGAACAGCATGACAGTGGTGTTTATTGAATTATACTTCCACAGATCGTGTATGGGCCTTCCTTTGAAGCATCTTTGACTATCTATAATAATAATAATAATAGTAGTAGTAGTAGTAGTAAAGTTGGAAGGGACCTTGGAGGTCATCTAGTCCAACCCCCTGCTCGGGCAGGAAACCCTACACCATTTCGGACAAATGGCTCTCCAGTCTCTTCTTAAAAACTTCCAGTGTTGGAGCATTTACTGCTTCTGGAGGCAGGCTGTTCCACTGATTAATTGTTCTCACTGTCAGGAAGTTTCTCCTTAGTTCTAGGTTGCTTCTCTCCTTGATTAGTTTCCACCCGTTGCTTCTTGTCCTGCCTTCAGGTGCTTTGGAAAATAGCTTAATTCCCTCTTCTTTATGGCAGCCCCTGAGATATTGGAATACTGCTATCATGTCCCCCCTTGTCCTTCTCTTCGTTAAACTAGACATACCCAATTCTAGCAACCGTTCCTTATATGTTTAGCCTCCAGTCCCCTAATCATCTTTGTTGCTCTTCTCTGTACTCTTTCTAGAGTCTCAACATCTTTTTTACATCGTGGTGACCAAAACTGGATGCAGTATTCCAAGTGTGGCCTTACCAAGGCATTGAAGAGTGGTATTAATACTTCACGTGATCTTGATTCTATCCCTCTGTTAATGCAGCCTAGTACTGTGTTGGCCTTTTTGGCAGCTGCAGCACACTGCTGGCTCATATTTAAGTGATTGTCTACTAGGACTCCGAGGTCCCTCTCACAGTTACTGCTATTGAGCATGGTGCCACCTATGCTGTACTTGTTCATTTGGTTTTTCTTGCCTAAATGTAGAACCTTGCTTTTGTCACCATTGAATTTCATTTTGTTAGTTAGTGCCCAGTGTTCAAGTCTGTCCAGATCCTTCTGTATCTGAAGCCTGTCTTCTGGAGTGTTGGCTATTCCTGCCAGCTTGGTGTCGTCTGCAAATTTGGTGAGTTCCCCATCTATCCCTTCATCCAAATCGTTGATGAAGATGTTGAAGAGTACTGGGCCCAGAACAGAGCCCTGGGGCACCCCACTACACACTTCCCTCCATATAGATGCAGTTCCATTGAGGACCACTCGCTGAGTACGGCCGGTCAGCCAGCTACGGATTCATCTGGTGGTGGTTCTGTCTACCCCACATTTTTCTATCTTGTCAAGTAGTAGGTTGTGATCTACTTTATCAAATGCCTTACTGAAGTCCAAGTAAATTATGTCCACAGCATTCCTCTGATCCACTAATTTTGTCACTTGGTCAAAGAATGCAATAAGATTTGTCTGGCATGATCTATTTTTGACAAACCCATGTTGGCTTTTAGTAATGACTTTGTTTGCCTCTAGGTGTTCGTTGATTCGTTGTTTGATTATCTTTTCCAGGATCTTCCCAGGTATTGAGGTCAGGCTGATAGGTCTGTAATTTCCTGGATCCATTTTTTTTCCTTTTTTGAGGATGGGAACTACATCAGCTCTTTTCCAGTCCTCTGGTAGTTCCCCTGTGTTCCAGGATCTTTGAAAAATATAGTTCAGTGGTTCCGATATCACATCTGCCAGTTCCTTGAGAACTCTGGGGTGTAATCCATCTGGTCCTGGCAATTTGAACTCATCTAGGCTGGACAGGTGCTCACTAACCATTTTCTTGCCTATCTTAACTTGTGTTTCTATTTTGTTTTTTATGGCACTATTTTTGATAGGTTGGTCTGTTTTTTCCCTTTGTGTAAAGACAGATGCAAAAAATGAGTTAAATAGTTCTGCTTTCTCCCTGTTGCTTGTCACCTTCTTGCCACTACCACCCACTAATGGACCAATCATTTCCTTCACTTTTTTCTTGTTTTTTACATATTGAAAGAAGCCTTTTTTGTTATTTTTGACTTTGGTCGCAAGCCTTAGTTCATTTTGAGCCTTGGCTTTCTTCACTTCATCTTTGCAGGCTCGGGCTATTTGCTGATATTCTGACTTAGTTATGTTCCCCTCTTTCCACTTTCTATACTTGTCCTTTTTATCTTTCAATTTGTCAGAGAGTTCTTTATGCAGCCATGCTGGTTTCTTTTGAGAGCTGTTGTTTAAATTTTCATTTGTCCAGCTGCCTTAATAGGCATGCCTATATCTGAAATAAAATTGTATCTGCAATTTTAAAAAAGGAATTTAATGGGTCATTCATTTAAAGTAATTTGCATGGCATAACACTAACATTGGTTAAAGCTGTGCATCAATGGTTCCATTTATGTACTTCTAAATAAGGGGAGAAATAGCCCAAAGATGAACATATTCAAGAATGTAATCCTAGGCAAAATTAATTGGAAAAAAATATTTTTTCATTTTAAGCTTGTGCGGCATTTCACCTTTATTCAGGCTAAATAATAATAATAATAGAATTGCTGCTGAACACTGTCTGTATATATAGCCAAGATATTGCAATGGAGTTTGGCTTGGACAAATGTGCCACACTTACTGTCAAATAAGGGAAAAATAGTGAAAACTGAAGGAATCAAGATGCCCCACAAAAATAACATTAAGAGTCTGGATAAGGAAGATTACTACAAATACCTGGGTATCCTTCAAGCTGGCAACATCAAGCACATTGAAGTCAACAAAAAGATTAGAGGTGAATACATCAAGAGAGTGAAGAAGATCTTAAAGTCCAAACTCAATGGAGGAAATACCATAAAGGCTATCAACACCTGGGCAATTCCAGTCATTAGATACACAGCTGGAATAGTGGACTGGACTCAAGCAGAACTAAAAGCAATGGATAGGAAGACCAGAAAAATAATGACAATGAATCATGCCCTTCATCCACGCAGTGACATTGACAGACTTTATCTACCAAGGCAAATTGGTAGGCATGGAATGTTGCAAGTACATCAGATGGTTGAAGAAGAAAAAATGGCTTTGGAAGAATATCTGAAGGACAGTGATGAAGATGCACTGAAATTAGTATATCAGGAAGGCTTACTGACTACTGGAGAAACCAAACTGGCCTACAAGAAAGACCAAATGAAGAACAGAATAGAGGCATGGGAAGACAAAGCACTACATGGCCAGTACATTAAAAAAATAGCTGGGAAAGCAGATAATAACAAGACCTGGCAATGGCTAAGAGCAGGAAAATTGAAGAGACCGAGGGACTAATCCTGGCTGCACAAGACCAAGCCTTAAGGACAATGCATATAAAGTCAAAATTGAGAAGACAGCAACAGACAGTAAGTGCCGCCTATGCAAAGAAGCTGAAGAAACAGTGGATCACCTGGTAAGCTGCTGCAAGAAGATCGCACAAACTGACTACAAGCAGCGGCATAACAAAATAGCAACAATGGTGCATTGGAAGATCTGCAAGAAATATCATTTGCCTGTAAGCAAGAACTGATGGGATCATAAAATAGAGAAAGTCATAGAAAAGTATAAAGTTAAACTGCTCTGAGACTTCAGAATTCAAACAGACAAGCACTTGCAACATAACACCCCGGACTTAAAAATTGTCGATAAGAAAGACAAAAAAGTCTGGATAGTGGACATGGCAGTGCCCGGAGACAGCAGAATAGATGAGAAGGAATTGGAGAAAATAACAAAATACAAAGACCTACAAATAGTAATACAAAGACTGTGGCAAAAGCAAGCAAGGGTAGTACCAATAGTAATAGGTGCCTTGGGTACAATCCCAAAACAACTGGAGCATCACTTGAACACCATTGGCATTGACAAATTCATCATTAGTCAATTGCAAAAGGTGGCCTTACTAGGAACCGCCTTCATCCTGCAACGATATCTGTAATAACATCAAACATCCACATCTGCCTATCCCAGGTCCTTGGTAAAGACTCGATAGGTAGACAAAATGCCAAATCCAGTCTGAACATCTGGCTGACTGTGTGATGATGATGATGATGATGATGATTAATATAATAATATTATTATAATAATAATAAAATTGGAAGGGACCCTGGAGATCATCTAGTCCAACCCCCTGCTCAGGCAGGAAACCCTATACCATTTCAAACAAATGGTTGTCCAGTTTCTTCTTTAAAACGTTCGGTGTTGGAGCATTCACCACTTCTGGAGGAAGGTTGTTCCACTGGTTAATTGTTCTAACTGTAAGGAAGTTTCTTCTTAGTTCTAGGTTCCTTCTCTTTGATCAGTTTCCATCCGTTGCTTCTTGTCCTGCCTTCAGGTGCTTTGGAGAATGGCTTGTTTCTGAAAAATTGGAACACTGCTATCATGTCCCCCCTCATCCTTCTTTTCATTAAACTAGACATAACCAATCATTCTTTATATATTTTAGCTTCCGGCCCCTAATCATCTTTGTTGCTCTTCTCTGCACTCTTTCTTGGGTCTCAACATCTTTTTTAGTTCGTGGTGACCAAAACTGGATGCAGTATTCCAAGTGTGGCCTTACCAAGGCATTGTAAAATGATATTAATACTTCACGTGATCTTGATTCTATCCCTCTATTACTGCAGCCTAGCACTGTGTTGGCTTTTTTGGCAGCTGCAGCACACTGCTTGCTCCTATTTAGGTGATTGTCCACTAGGACTCCAAGATCCCTCTCACAGTTACTATTATTGAGCAAGGTACCACCTATACTATACCTGTGCATTTGGTTTTTCTTGCCTAAATGTAGAACCTTACTTTTTTCACCATTGAATTTCATTTTGTTAGATAGTGCCCAGTGTTCAAGTCATCCTCCTGTATCTTAAGTTTATCTTCTGGAGTGTTGGCTGTTCCTGCCAGCTTGGTGTCGTCTGTAAATTTGATGAGTTCTCCATTTATCCCCTTCTCCAAATCGTTGATGAAGATGTTGAAGAGCATTGGGCCTAGAACAGAGCCCTGGGGCACCCCACTACAGACTTCCCTCCATGTAAATGCAGTTCCATTGAGGACCACATACTGAGTATGGCAGTCAGCCAGCTAGGAATCCATCTGGTGGTGATGCTGTCTAACCCACATTTTTATATCTTATCAAGTAGTAGGTTGTGATCTACTTTATCAAATGCCTTACTGAAGTCCAAGTAAATTATATCCACAGCATTCCTCTGATCCACTAATTTTGTCACTTGGTCAAAGAATATAATAAGATTTGTCTGGCATGATATGTTTTTGACAAATCAATGTTGGCTTTTAGTAATGTTTTTGTTTGCCTCTAGGTGTTTGCTGATTTGTTGTTTGATTATCTTTTCCAGAATCTTCCCAAGTATTGAGGTCAGGCTGATAGGTCTGTAATTTCCTGGATCCATTTTTTTTCCTTTTTTGAAGATGGGAACTACATCAGCTCTTTTCCAGTCCTCTGGTAGTTCCCCAGTGCTCCAGGATCTTTGAAAAATATAGTTCAGTAGTTCTGAGATCACATCTGCCAGTTCCTTGAGACACTTGGGGTGTAATCCATCTGGTCCAGGTGATTTGAACTCATCTAGGCTGGACAGGTGCTCACTTATCATTTTCTTGCCTATCTTTACTTGTGTTTCTGTTCTGTTTTTTATGGCACTATTTTTTATAGGTTGGGCTCTTTTTTCCCTTTGTGTAAAGACAGATGCAAAAAACAAGTTAAATAGTTCTGCTTTCTCCCTGTTGCTTGTCACCTTCTTGCCACTTTCCCCCACTAATGGACCAATCATTTCCTTCACTTTTTTCTTGTTTTTTACATGTTGAAAGAAGCTTTTTTTTTGTTATTTTTGACTTTGGTCGCAAACCAAAGATAGATATCCAGAAAATACAAGCTGTATGAAATACCTGTCTGCAGCAGCCTTTGCCATACTTATTCCCATTTAGTGGTAACTGTAGTTCTGATGCCTCAAAAAAGTTTAAGAAGTTAGAAAGATTCATTCCATTCCATAAACATTATATTGACACCTTAAAGCAAAATATCTCATCATCTGGCAACCTGCCATGGGAAACCTGGTGAAAACTCAAGTCTTATTTAGCTATTCATGAAGGAGTTGAGGGAAGAAGTAATCCAGAGAAGGCCAAGAAATTGATGTCAAATAATATTGCTGAGTAATCATGAATCCAAGATGCAATCGGAGATGCAAGTATGAATAATTTATAGTTGTTCATCAATCATAACAAATCTAATAATAACTTTATCCTTATTTAATCTGTATATTTTGGCAGAAAGGAAAAGAACATACTGGCAAGTTTCTCTTTTTCCTGTCCTACAGCAGGTGGCACGCAGCTACCATTGTAAAACCTTTAATAGTGCAGAAAGGAAGCAACATCCATATTACACATTATAGTAAAGCTGAAAGTTTGCACTTAGGTACTGTATTATCATGACTCAGCTTGCAGTTATCAGCTTGCTTCCTTTAGAGATGCTGAAATACCTACAGAGGTCAAGTTGTTTCCCCGAGGGGCTAACCTTGAAAAAAGATTTTTACCTGTGAGACAATGGAAAACTTCTAATTAGCTAAGTCAGAACAGGAAAGACAGAAAAGGAGACTCCTTTTTTACTAGGAAAAACTTCGTTTGAAGTGTAGCATAGTCATTAATCATTCTTGCCACATTTAAATAATAATTAGAGATTCATTTATTCTGAAATACTGACATATTTTTGTTGCTGCTCCAAATCATCATTGTTCATACATAGATTTGTTTCTGTACTGTCACTTTTTAAAAAATGCATTCTTCTGAGGTGTAGGTTCATTTGAAAAGCTTTGGCTGTCTGAAGACATGAGCCCATATTTCTTGAAGGGAGGGTATTCCATTTGTTTAACTGCTGCTGTGTTTGAACTCCACAGCTCAACTGGAGGCAACTCTTGGGACATTTTATGCACCAACCCGGCCTTTGTCTGAGACAACTGTTTTAGCATACAGGGACCAGATCAGCAGATATGCACGAAGGTTCTTCCACCATCTGCTCAGGTGAACAACTATCTTGACTTTTATTAATTTCAAAGAGTTTATACTGTTTTCATAAGAAATTATTAAAGCATTTAACATATTTTCTAGAAGACTCACATACAAAAACATTTTGACTAGTTTTAACTAGTCCTTTTTCAAACATGTTCAGGTGCTGTATATACGGTATTTGCTCTTTTTTCAGCACATTTAAGATTTTGTATCTCACTTATTTATTTTACTTGGTTTATTTGTCATTTTAATCGCCAAGCAACTCTAAGTTGTACAATCTTACTGTATATAAACAAGATTAAAATAGCCAAAAACTGTAAAAAAAATTAAATATTCCTATGCAAGAAAATCATAAAACCCATATAATAGTATATTACAAAGTACAAAATGCTTGTCAAATCATCTTTCATGGTCATTATTTAAATAACGATATATGCTGTACATGGGGCTGCCTTTGCAGGTTACCCAGATTTACTTCTGAATATTTTTTGTGAATTTTCAAAATATTCACAAAATTAAGCATGTATTGCTTTGTATCACTTGATTCTTTTTTTTTATGTAATTCAGAGTAGTTTATATCTGGTCAATCTCTGGGCTTTTACATTTATTGAAACATGAAAGATTACTGCAACATCTTCTTCCTAAAGGAAAAATAGATGTATAGTATATGAAAGGCATAAAAGTGTTGATAGCTTAACTGCAATTAACTTGGTTGACAGTTCCCTAATAAGAGGAAAGAAAAAGAAGAAAGACAAAAGACCTCGTTCAACAGTAAGATGCTCTTCTAAAAAGTGATTTGTTTTAGCCATTAGCAAAGCACATCTCTCTTCCCTGCTGAGATAGCTGATATCCTTAAATATTCCAGATGAGAACACTTTAAAAAAAAGAGAAAGAAAATAGATGTAACATTCTTAGGAATTTCCACCTCATTATAAGAACATAATTCTTTTGCTAGTGTTTTTGACTATGTCAGCTGATGTCATCACTGTGAAAATATGGTTGGTTTAAGCAGTTAAGAATGGTTCCTGAATATTAATGTAACATGAATCTAGTGGTATTACGGTGCAGATGGTAAGTTTTGAAGCACCTAAATTATGCTTTCCACCCAAAGCTAATTAAGAGTTTCTTCAGGTGTTAGTATCAAAAATAACTTTCAGAAAAAAGATTTAACAAAAATCCTGAAATCTGTTAATAGACATCCTTTTTGGAATACATTGTAACTTCTAATCACTTTGTAAAAGTAATCAAAATCAGTATGATTTCAGACAAAATGAAAAGGCTGATTTGTTCTATAAAACTAGAGGGAGAAACTCTGACATAATCAGATATTAAATTTCTATTGTTTTTTTTAATAAAGATTTCATCCAGTAAAACATTCAAATTTTTCATTCTATAATATTTTTAGATCTAGCCAATTTCAGTGAGAGTTTTAATTTTGTTTAAATACTTTGATGCCATATGGCTATGTGAGCCAAGTATTCTATGCAATTCACATTGTAAAGAAAACTAGGTAACATATAAGGGGAAAAGAAAGAAACAAGTTGTGTACATTTCAAAACTGGTTGTACTTGCAGAGAATAAGTTGTACAGCACTGGATTCTGAAGAGTTTGTGTTTTTGAAGAAGATAGGGGAATCACATATCATTTGCTGTTTCCCATCTTCAAAGGAACCCATCAAATGCTTCCCTATATCATTGCTCCAGCAGTTATTTGTTTGTTTATTTGTTTGTTTATTCTTCCTTCCTTCCATGTCTGTCTCTCTGTCACATTTCTGGGCCGCCTATCTCCCTCATCCCACTATTCTGATGTAGTGAAAGCCCTAATGCCTTTAAATCAGAATGTCAAATGCTTGAATCCTAGAATCTGCTCATAAATGTTCTAATCTAAAATTGTTGGGCCATCATATCTACACAATAGAGATTTGCAGTTGTAGTAGGAATTTATTTTTGCCTATATTTGCCTCTGCTATAGAGCTTTCTTAGTGTGTAGACATGCTGATAAATTTACTCAATGTAGCTTTCAAGAATATTTTTAAGTTTACATAATCATCAAAGGGCTAAAGCTAGAACAGATGAAAGGCCAAAGACAATTAAAGTATAATAGCTAATTTTTCACGGACAAGGTTGAGCAAAATAAATGTGAAACAACAGGTATCACAAGTTCTTATCAACATTTTTAATTAACATCAATTTTCAAAGCAGAGTATTTTGGAAAGTTATGATGGATTGTGCCTGTATAAAAAGATAAAAAGTAAACAGAAGTTTCTGAATAGTAAGACGTTGGGAAACTAAGAGGCAGTGAAAGTTGAGAATTATTTGTAGCTCTTATAGAATAAAAGACAAGCAATGTCCCTACACATAAACAAAGATTAGAGGAAAATGAGAATGATATTGGTATGTGGAAACAGCAAAATGTCAATACTGGAAGGAGTCAACCTAATTAATGGACCTCATAGCAATTTGTGCACAAAGGAAGATAAAAATTTAAAAACATGTAATCAAACAAAGTTTATTTTAAAAAATGCAATTTTACAAAGAAAATAATAAGCCTAACAATTTCAACATTAGCTTCCATGTTGGAGATAATTACAGTATGACAAATGTAAATACCAATGCAGACATGATTCACTCCAATCCAAGTGTTTTACACTTTTACAGAATTTTATCAATAATCTCCAAGACTGATAAATCATATAATAATAAATGTTGGAAATGCTATGAAACAGAAAAGAACATTTTACAGGTAGTCCTTTGCTTGCAGCCACAATTGAGACTGGAATCTCAATCACTGAGTGAAGCAGTCAAAATCTCGCAGCACACTGGGGGATTGGACCTTAAATCCAACATCCCCTCTCTCCTTGCAACCTTCCCTGTCTGCTTCCCCATTGGCCTTCTGGAGAAGACGGCAGAGAAGATTGTAGATGGTGTCCACATGATCTCAGGGCACTTAGTAACTGATAGTAAATGTGAACAGGTTGACAACGCAATTAAGATATGTATAAGCTAAACACTATTGATAATTGTAACAAAGAGGTTTTTATTTAGTTGATAATAATAACTGTATTAGCTTAATATGAGATAGTAGATATTAAGGGGAAAAGAGAGGAAATATCTGATGTTGTAACATGAGGTTTATACTAAAGATTTATGTATGCTATTGAACTATTGATTAACCCAGTCATCACGTTGCTTTTTAAATAATTGTAACATGAAAAAAATAATGAAATATTATTAAAAAGAAAAAAAACCTGAAACACAATTATGTGACTGGGGAAGGCCAGTACAATGTTTTATGATGGTCATTACATTATGTTAAGGACCCATTCTGAGCTCTTTGTGACTGCAAATGGTCGTTAAATGACTAATCATAAGTCAAGGACTACCTGTACCATACATGTAAAGAAAACTCAAAAGTACTAAAAAAAAAAAATACACAATGCAAAAAAATTTTGGAAAGCAAATTTGAAATGAAATCACAATATCTGTTATTAGGTATAAACCCCTCAAACATTAAACATAAATTTTGCCTCATGCTGAAAACACATTTCTCATAATGTCTGATTGGGAACTTAAACTTGGAGAATATGCAGCAATGGCAAAATTTGCTGTACATATTCACACCTGAAGTTGAAACAAATGGAAGCAAGAATAGTTCCAATTCATACTATCTATTACTTAGAATGACAAATATAAACACAACTTGGCTTCTAAGGGAACCTAAATGTTTATAAACGCTGCAAATTAGGAGAGTCAAAAAAGGGAAAGTTATAAACTAAATAGCTTTTTTGTTCTCTTTCCTCTTTTTCTTTTATTATTTTTGTTGTTGCATATTTTGTTATGTCTATTTTTTCTGTTTTTAACATGCTCGAACAATAATAAGTAACAATACAGTGGAGATTTTAGTAAGTATTCAGCTTAAGAGATACCTTTATTGTACAAAAAACATTTTGATGCAATTTGCAATTATTAATGCTATAAGTAGGTTTAGATGAAAAAATTAAACAATGTCATGCTTATTAGCATCAACACTTTAAACTGACACTAATACAAACTTTTTTTTCCTATCTTTAAAGATTTAAGTTATTGGCTGTCAGTTTAAGTTTTGAATGTGAGCAGATTAGTGCTTGGTATAAGATGGATGCCTATATAATTTTTTAAAATAAATAAAATTAAGCATTAAAGTCTTAATATCTAATTATATAAATGAATAATATCTAAATTATATAAATATGTAATAAATATTATTTTAATCTTATAGTGTAATAAAACAAATTTTAAAAAAGAACAAATGAAGCCTGTTACATAGGAAGTGGTAGTTTTAATATTACAATTAAAGAAATGATACAAAGGAGGATAAAAAAAATATTTTTTTTGCTTTATCACCTCAGAACCTTGGACACTAATTCAAGGAGCTAGCTGCATAATTTTGCAGCCTTTCCAACAATAGTCCCTAAATAACCCTAGTCCCACTTTGGGCAAGAAAGCTGGTTGGGTACCAGACAGTTTCAGTCCAACTTACCTCATAGGGTTGTTGTGGAGAAATTAGGAGGAGGAAGGAGTATTAGGTGTATCTTGAGTTCTTTATAAAAATAATAAAGATGCAATTTTTTTAAAAAAGGAAAGCATGTGTGAGAATAAATGGAAGGTTTAGCAATGGCTCAGAAGTCAACAGGAAGTATAAAACAAGGGTGTTTAATATTTGTTTGGCTGTTTAATTATGGATAAATTTATTAAAAATGTAATGATGTTGCATGAATACTGGTTACAATTTGATGTGGTTTTGCATGTACATTTGTGTGTAGATGATGCTATGTTACTGGCTGACAAGCTGAATGGTTTTTGGTTAATGTTAGATTGTAAGATACATTGAAAATTATGGGTTTGACAACGTCAAATGGGACTTCATACTAGAACAATTAAAATATATGGATTTTGGGGGAAAATTTATAAAGATGTTCCAAACAATTTATTCCAGACAAGAAGCCAGAGTGGTGATAAATGGGGAAATGACAA